CGCCCTCTAATAATTTTTTGTTCTTGTTGCTACAATACTATACCAAATGCTGAAAATTCCACACTGTATCATATGCACTGATTTGGAATAAAGGGAATCATTATTACTGCTAATAAAACCCTCCACTTAGACATTTACAAGACAAAAGTGTTCAGTGGGTGGATATTCAAGTTTCTATTAGATTCTCGCCTATGTCTGCACTCTAATATAAACAGCATTTTACCTATATATGGGTGATAAGTTTGTTAACAGTGATCAACCAATATCGAAATGACAAGGAGGTGACAGTTAACCAATAAGATTGATGCAGGAGTCTCAGTATCGAAATATTTTCAAGAAAATAAACAAGTGGGTTGTATATTTTGGAAAAATAAGAGGAGTAAATGAGAAATTAATGAGTGCTCGAAATGCCTGCAGATTGAAGCATTGAAAATGAATTAGATAAAATGAGACAGTCAAAACTACAACAACCAAGGTAGAAGGGGAATTTTCAGTATTTCTTATCGATGTAATTATTGCTTCAACAAACGAAAACGATTTACATATATGCGTTTCTTAATAATTACTGAACATAATTTAAGCAGATGCTTATTTCGGCAGTTTCTCACCAGGACTCACGTTTAAATAATGCGATTATTAAGCATGAACGTTCATTACTAATGTGCTTAATTGGATCAAAACTGAAGCAAATGAATTAGTACACAATAGTTAACAATAAGAATAAATGCGTGGGTTTCCATAGTCTAAGTAGACAGTCATTGTGAACCGGTGATTAGAAAATTTACATATTGCATGAAGATGTGCATGAGTCATTTGGCTACCTTATTTTCCGTAGAGCGTTATTCCAAAAAATACTCCTATTTACCTTTGTTTTAGTCTCCTGATCACGTTCTTGAAGACCAATCTGTACTCATACACACTTTTCAATAGCTTCTACTTTTGAAGCCAAATAACTCGTAGTTGTGATATAATGATATTCTTTCTCTTATTTTGTAGAAACAGGTCACGTAGATGCAGTGGGCCAACTGTCGAAAGATGAAAATGGACCAAACAGAAATGACTAGACACTGGATTTATATCTTGTATCCCACCTAAATCTTTATTGCTTGTTATAATAATAATAATAGCAATAATGGTAATAAAGTGTTTGTCTCACTGACGCGCTTCGTGTTCTTCTAAGAGTGCGTCATTAAGTCATGTCGGTTCATTGGTCCCGTTTTACAGGTGAAGCTGCTACCGTCGTCCTTACACCATTATACTTCTAGGTGTTGCAGGATGCTTCAGGCCGTACTGTACTGCGTCAAATAATGTACTGTAGATTACTGTTATACTTCAAGATTCTGTACAAGTAGTTAAAACAGTACTTCTCCTTCATAACATGCCTTCAATGCAGATTTATAAAAACATAACCTGTTCCACTGAATAAATTCAAATCACACTGCTAATGGACAGTCAACGTTTCCTACAGTTAGACCAAAACTTGATTAAGTTCATTACATATTTCTACTTCCGTAGTATAACTGGATTTTATATGTGGGAGGTCATGAGATTTGCAACTCATTTTATTGTTTTTTGTATCTGGAACACTGTCACTTTACTTAAACATCTTCTAGGATTTACTATTTCTGTCCAAGCGAGGGCTTAACAGTTGTACACAAAACAGTACATGCTCACATACTGCGCAGCATGCCATAAATATCCTAGTACGAAGCAATAACTAGAAAAAAGGTGGATGTAACGTAAACTCAAACATGAGAAACTGTTGAAAGATACCGTATTACTCAGTTTTCTTACGGTAAAGAGAAATACTTACTGGTAAGAGACTTGTATTTACCAGACCTTCAGGTGTAAATCCGAGACTGTTTGTCAGTTTCCAACACTAGCAAGTAAACCTGCAGCAAAAAAAACAGCTGATAATTTTATCGTTCAGAGGAATGAATTATTGTCTTTTCTCATATAAAATGAATATATTACAGATTGCTTTATATACACATATACACCACTTGGTATTTGCTTAGCTGGTAACGAAACCTTTAAATTCGTTTTAAACAAACGTCTCCTTTGAATCTCATAAAAATTCCGTCAGCTTCCTCAGTTAATAAGGCATAATGAATGAAAACTCACTCTATGATGATGTAAAAAATACGTGATTGAAAGGATTACTTAATCCTCTCCGAGTGACAAAGTTATGCAGTAAGTTACATAGAAGTGGATTAGTTTAAATGTGAACCTAAATGTGAATGTCTTCTGTTACGAGTGTCAGTTTATTTATCAGGAGATAAAATTCATTGTATTATGATCTGTTCTGTCATACAATTACCTTTTTATGTTTTTGGTGCAGTTGAGTTCTAAGAGCTGGTTTAATTAGCTGAGAAGCTTCCATTGTCCTTCTAGGCAATTATTTGTTTCATGGAGAATTCAAGTAATTTCATTTCATATTGATTTTTGAATAGAAGATGACGCCTAGATGTATAGTGAAAGCTTCGCAGTTGTATCGCAGAGTTTAACGAGTGTATACACGTCAGAATCTTTTATCTGAGCTGCAAACATATCTATGATGCTCTTGTACATGAGCCCTGAAATGATCACTTTTCTATTATGTGGCAAAAATAATTAGTAAATAGTGTATCATTTTGTGAAAATCACTACATTTTCAAGGGTAATACGCAGTGGCATTGCCAAAATAAACAACGTGTGTTCAAGGTTTTTTTATATATTATGTAAAATACTAAGTTATGTGAGGCCATAGGAACTTAGACATTACATAGTGAGAAAAAATTGTTTCTCTGAAAAAATTAACACAGGAATAAAACAGTAAAAGTAGCTAATTTCATGAAGAATTAATAAGTATTTAGTGATAAATTATATCTATGTATAGATTATAAGAAAATTATATATATATATATATATATATATATATATATATATATATAAAGAAGTGGTAAACGTTTGTTCAGGTCACCACTAATCATTAGAGAGCAAACTACATAACAAACATCGGTTTTCTAATATAACAGCATAGAAATGTAAAAATACCTGCCTACGTTTAAAACTAATTAACACGCACACATGTTTTTGCAGGAACTAGCCTGGCATCAAAATTTTAACAGACATTATTGATAAAATATGTAGGTAGTTGCCGAACCAGCCAATTAGCTGGTTTGAGACGTTTGCTTACGCGTATTTCATTTCATATAAATAATAGACTCGTTATTGTGACTTCTGTAGGCGTTTGTTTATTAACTTAACTCTGAAATTGTGACCAACTAGTTATGATAATCGTTACATCTGAATGGAATTTGAGACTTAGATTTAGTCTGTTTTTGAAGTCTATTTTGAAGTCACCTCTACTTTCACTATTAAGTGTCTTTGTTTTTGAGAATATGCGAATTAAATGAGAGCATGGCTGTGATGGCTAGACAAGAAATAAGAGTAGAACTTAGTTAATCATAATATAAATACACATACATATATGTAAACGCTAGATTAGAAATATATGTCCTAAAGTAAAATTTAAACTCCCTACGTTTATCTATCATCAGTTGGTGACATCGTTTAGGGATTGTTTTCATGTCTGTATCTCAATGGTGTATTAAGACGACGTCAGAGAATTTTATTAGGTGGGAAGTATTTTTCCCGACATCGCAGCTCACAGGTGGTATGTATATTTCCTACCAATCGCTTAGTAAATTAAAAAATAAAAGTACACACCTATGTGTAGCTTTCCATGTGCAACGTGAGATTTACTCATGCTAAGTCTCCACTAACTGCTGTTAGTGATACTAATACAGTTATAAGAAATATCCGTCAACATGAAGTTGCGTATTGTGCAATACACTACTATACAGTCTGCCAGAAATCATATCATCGCTGGATATTTCACCTGTCATAACTGTTGTAAGATCCCTTCAATCAATAAGCCGATGGTATACATTGAGAAATTAGTATAAAATTCAATTAGTAATATCAGGGGAGGTTTCAGTACGCTGAAGATGCAATTTAGAAATTCAGCTGTAAAGCAGAGTTTACCGAACTCGCTTTACCTGTAAATGAAAGTATTTACGAGCTAACGTTTGCTTTCTCTGTTTTTGTTTACTTTTAATCGTCTCAGAAATCTATTGTTACGGTATCACATCTTGTTTAATATATTTGCAGTTTGGGAAGACTCAACAACACATTTTTGATCAACGGAAATAAACGCGGAGAAAGTTAACTCTTTTAGTGGACAGCAGTTGATTTAGTCATTTAGTTTGGCAACTCATGACACGCTATAGCAACACTACAGATCTCTGACAAGAAACCAAAAATGAATAATCCCTTTTGACTTCACGAATAAGATACTTTTTGATTTCACTACAATATATTTAAAGTATTATTGATTCATCTCGCGGATATAAACTTCCATATCCTTTTCATATGTATATCTACTTTTGAATGTAATGCCTAAATGATCTCAAACAGAACAAATGGTTTTATTTCTTTTCGTCATACTATTCATAATGAATACTATTTTCTTTAAACCACACCTAAAACTGCATGTGTACTCTCCTCCTTTTCGTAATTATTTGTATATGAAAGAAACTCACACGCGTACACAAAGAAAGAAATAATCTACCACTGAATACTGATCGTATTTGTTTTTAGAAGTGTTTTAGTGAATATTAAAATCTAAGCACAATTGTTCTTAGAACTAATGTATAGTACATATGTGTACTAAAATCTGTTGATATCTCACAAGAAAACATATTGTTTGTGTATACATGTCTTAAAGAAATGAATTATTTCAGCTAACAGCCAAATAGTGAAATAAAACGCATGAACCTTTCTCAGTAATAATAATACATAAATCGATTGTCCTGTGAATAATATTCACCATAGTAAAGATTATATAAATAGTTCAATACCCGATTGTTTTAACTACAAATCAGTATTTATTTTTCTTGATAGACTAAATCTAGCATTCATACTGATTGTTTTCTTGTTACATTAACATTTTTGTTATGATGACAGAAAATAATGAACTCATTTATCATACATGTTATGCCTATCTAATACACCATTTGCCCATGAAGAAAAATCTTAAAATATTTGATCGTTCAACAGCTGAAAATGAAATTGAAAAGATTAAATGTGTATCACCAGTGCGTTTATGTCTTGTGTTTACTGAAGATTGTCTACGTATAAAACGCTTCGGAAGAAACACAAACCGGTATAAATGGCATACACTATTTTATGAACAAATTCAATTTTATTATTCCACTCATGATGAAAATAATTTAATCATTCTGGGAATTATTTCTCCAAGTGGTCGTAAACGTGGTTATCAATATTTATATGTTGAAAACAAGGATGATCTGCAGAAGGTAGAAGAGACCCTTCATCAGATAGCTGAACATCGTTTACAGATACTAAAACAAGTCCCAGAGATAAGTCAGATTAATATCAACAACTCGAATAATGAATGAAAAGTAAAATAAGAAACCGATCATTCAACTTTGGACAAATTAAATAATCCTAGCTCATTGAAGCAGGTAAAATAACAAGAGAAGAAACAATCAATCTAACCTCTTAGTAATGTAAATTGTACAAATATGTTGAGTGTTTTTTGCTTGTCTAGGAAAGTTATTGATGACGACTTTATGTATTTTTTTAAAATATGTCATCTAAAAGCAAAATAATTTTAAAATAAAAAAATGAATCCACAACTCTTTAGCTAAATATTTTTCATCTTCATATATAATCAATTTAGGGATATTAAAACAAGAGCTTTAATTCAGTCTGATGACTTAAAGCAAAATAGCCCAAAACTGTTTTGTTGTAAATATTCGCCTATTTATTTGAATGTAGTGATGTGAACCTTACTGAAAATCAGTCAAGGCTAGCCTTGTGAATTGATTAAGTTGTTGGTTACCATTTCGGTGTTCTGATTTTCTTGTCGCTACAGAACAAAGTTCATTTATGAGGTGTGTTTTTTCCCTTTACCCGCTAGTAAGCAATATGACGTTAGAATTACAGCACACAAATAACTTTTAGACTGACAGTTTAAATTAATCAGTACATATTTAGATTCATGATACTTTTTACATGTCATTTATTTCTTGTAAATTTAGGGGTAAATGTTATTCAAGTGTTGATTTGTAGGGATTTGATTGCTTTCAGGATTTCATCATGAGCTGACATTAGTTAGAGAATCAATGGAAAACCTGGGAGTACTGGACAGCTGTTTCATCCTAGTTTGGGACTCTTCATCAGTACGCACCTATCGGGATTCGAACCCAGAACTTTCTGGTTACAAGGCGAGCTCGCATACCACAAGGCCACCGGAACCCGATTCAATGGCCCATGAATTCTGACTTCCGCCAATTCACGACAAAGCGCGACCCCTAGCCAATGTTTTCGGCGAGTGTTTGTCCTCACACCCGACCCGCTGCACCCTACTGATCACGACTTCTCACTAGAACCCCAGATAACTACCAACCTGAATAGGGTAAGTCGCTAGTGAGCAACTCATTGTTATTCAGGTGTTGGTTTGTAGGGATTTGATTGGTTTCAGGAGTTCTGGGGTTCTAGTGAGAAGTCGTGACCAGGTCCTGGGTTCGAATCCCGATGGGCGCGTACTTCTGAAGAGTCCCAAAGTAGGACGAAACAGCTGTCCAGTACTCCTAGGTTTTCCACTAGGGGTAAATGTGCTTAGGAAAACATCTCTCTGGTGTTTAGTGAAAAATTAAGAGATACGGACTATGCTGATAGTTTTGGTGGCTTCAGTTAATTTAATCACGTCTATCTTGTGTAGTAGAAATAGATATATTTTCTAGTCAATCATTTTAAATTACGTATATTAATGTTATCTGGGAAAAGGTGAAAATTACTTTTCTACAGTATTGAATGAATTCAGAGGTTGTGAGTTTGCTGTAGGCTTTAAATGTCAGAGTATGCATTAAACTGTTTCACTGAAAAATTAACTTTAATGCATTAGTCATCTCAGTAAATATTCAGAAACGTAAACACTCCAACACTTAATTTCTTCAAAACGTTGTATAATTCAGTAGTCTGAAAGCTGCAGTTTAAATGTCTAAATTTATGCCTGACAGTGTTCATGTTCCTTTTTAGCGGTTAAATGGTTGACTTAGATCGATATTTGGTGGATTTTTTCTTATTTACATACGATTCTGATAATACATTTCACTGTTCATTACAAGATACATGTATTACCCTTCATAACAAATAATGAGAGATATATCTGGTTCATTTATAGTGAGTCTATTTTTAGCTTAAGCTGGGGAAGGAAGCAGTTGAGTGTTCTCCAAACATTGATATCTGATATTGATAGTAATTTAGGATTTCCCTGTGATGTACAAGGAATTTAATATAATTCACTGGTAAGATGAACACGAGATATATCTCCACGTGTATACAACCAGCTTATCCATCTCTAGTTTGTTTTGCTTATCTCGCTTTTCAAAGTTCATAGTAATTTCGTACTGGATTGGACTTTCTGGATATAACATAAAGTATCACTCTACAGCACATTTTGTTTAATACGTAGGAGCCGCATGTTAACTAACACCACCTTATAGTTTTACGTACATCTTAAATTATTCTGTACCGATACTTAATTTTTCTGATAACTTGCTGCTGACGGGAACCCAACGGAATAAATTCGTTAGTTAGGATTGAAGCAGACCTGTCACTAAGTAAAACACTTATAAGTTACGAAAGGTCGGATTGGTCCTACATACTATTCTGACAAAGTACCAGCAGTTAGAATTACAAGAAAAATAATACTTAGTATTCTTGACTTACATTTTCCTCATCTCGAAATCTATCACTGATCACGAGTAATAGAATGGTTGAGTGATGTTTGCATCTGTTAAAATTCTGAAAAATTTACGCCATTGTATTATCTACCACTGTGAATAAATTTCATCTTAGATACTTCTTAATATTTGTTATTATCTGTTTCATCAAACAAAAATACAAAAACTTTAACTAAAACCATCAAAATATTCTGATTTACAGAGAAGGTATTTTCATATTTGCAGTAATTTGCTACAGAGATAACGTTGTGATGAACAGAGTGGACAAGCAAATAAACAAACAGTATGGGGAAAAGACAGGCATTCAACTAATTCTTTTTGGTTTTAATGCTAAATTAATAAGTCTTGTTAGAGTAAGCAAGAGATAAGGTCTTTAAATCTCATAAGTTGAAGCCTTTTATATCTCCGAACATCGAAACATTTTCTCTTACTGCATATTATATTGTATTTTATTCAGAAAAATGTGTTCAGAATTTCTCTCTAACGTTTCTCACATCCCACTGGAACTAGGGGTGTTTTCAAACGTTTGACTTAATTATTTTCCCTAATCTACAATCAAAAGAATTAAGGGCTTCTCTTTCTGAAAATTGGTATGAATATCAGTCAAATAGTATCCGCCATTCCAGCTTCATATTCAGGTGTTAAAGAGAATTCATTTCAATTAAAGTATTATTATAACAAGCGCGTATTAGAATAAGTGGGCTGAGTAATTAAACGACACTAACTACATCAATAAGATGAGGAAAAACTGCGAAAATTATTTAGCCTCAAAGATATTGCAGAAAAAATAGAATGGGAATTCTTCAAGACACTGAAATCATCACTATCCAACCACACTCAAAATTAGGAATGCCTTTAGCTTTTGAGAACAAACATACTTAGAATATATATGAGCCACCTAAATGTATCAGGCCAGACATGAGCTTTGATAGTCCAATGATAGAAAGCAGGTTGGAATTCATTTCTCGACTGATTCACTCCCAGCTTTCTTGCTGACAGTAAGCCCGGGAAAGTGGAAATTTTGGATGTGAGGTTAGTTGCCCTACCCCAAAAAATAACATACGGCCACCGATGATTTCATGCTCAAATATAATGACTCACTTAGAACTTAAAGTTATGGAAAATACTTTCTAAAGCTCCTGATACTACACATATCACGAAGATATACCAAAACCAACACGGTTGAAGGTGACTAAGTGAGGCTTGAAGGACGCCTTCGAAACTGAGATACGACAAACGGTGAGTTTATGATTGCTACGAACACACGATGAACCCACAGTTTCCGTTTAATTGACAGACGGAAGGTATGACAATGGGCTACTCATTCTGGCGTTTTCTGGACGATATTTATGTGAAAATATTAGAATAAGGTCCACTTATAAGTGTGATCAACAATGTCTTTTCTTACTATGTGCATATGGACGACAATTTTTATCTTTCATAAAAATAATATCAGCTCTGAGTTGTTCCACTATATCCTGTCCACAAATTTAGTTCACATGCAAAATAAAGGGAAACAATACTTTATCATTCTTTGATGTCCTGCCAATGCCAGATGATAATATTATGCAGATGTTTCCCGTAAGAACTCATGTACTGACCAACAGACTCTCCTATCAATACTCTCTTGTTTCGAGCTACCAATACCAGTGCAATCAACATTCTGAATGGCGAAGTAAGGATAATACAGAACTGGTTATATGACAAAAGATATCCGGAATTGTTTTTCCAAGCCTCCTTGATGAAAGTGGATAGGGGGAATAGCTCGTAGAAAGCACAGAAGAAATGTATGCATGACTTTGTGATTACTGAACTACTAGCACTAATACCCAGGAAAAGTAGTACCTAGAACGCTATATTTAAAAGTCACCAGTTGTTGTGGAGTTTCCAAGGATCTGAGGGATAAACCACTGAATCTGAAAACCTGATATTGATTTTTATACCCAACTGCTATTGTAGAGATAATTGCATAGGTATGACGATTTGGCAATCTCACTGTCGCCTTCCTGCCTGCTGTCCAGCATGGTTATTAGAATGAATAGCAAAGTCTGTCAGGTGTCTTATACTGGTCAGAAAGGATAATGGGCTATTTATAACTGAACGGTGTGAAAACTATATCATATAAGCTGTTTTGGTAACTAGTAAGCTTCTGAAGACCACAAAATGTTTCTTATCATCACACTGACAAAACCACATCGTTCATCCTACTGCGTTCAAGCAGCTGGTTAGAATTTTAGCTGTATAAATGCTTAGGTGCTCTGACAAAAATCAGTGATGGACGCAGACTAGAGGAATATGGTTTGACCTCAACATTAAAACAACCCGACAGAGCACTCCTACTGACTAATATGCTTTGGTTAGCAGTAAATGTGGATACTTAATTCAAATATATGCAAGATTTTCAAATGGTCAAATCAAGGGATAACGGTCCTCTGAGTATACTTATTGTATTTTTCATCAAAAGTAACCATTGCAACTTACGAATATTTATATACATTAGAAAATTCTTATTCACCCGGTAATCAATAACTTTAAATCTAAATTGTTCTCAGCTGACTAACAGCTTCATAATACGATGAAATATTGGAGTAATAATTATTCCTAGTTTTTATTCATTAGTTCTAACGACTTTTAACCTATAAACGTTCTCAGTCGATATTCATCAAATACAGATATAGAATAATGCCACAGATTTCATGGAACATAGCTCTGAGATTTATACATCTGTCGCTTCTTTAGACTAAAAGCTGAAATATTTCAGTATACTTTTGTTTTCACCAACCTTACATCCTTCGCATTTCCAAGCACCGATTGTCTTCAACATATTTTGCCTTACTTTCCCTTGAATTTAGGCGAATAAACTCGTATCTTAGCACTACCACAGGTTCAGTACGTATCGAGAAAGTTTTTTCCAGCGAAGATTCAATTTTTAGCGCATACACAGATGATCTTTAGTCCTTTGGAAAGTCATTTGGTAACATAAGGTTGAAAATTTCATTTTCATTCAACGTTAATTTCAGCAAACGAACACCAAATACCTGACTACATCAGCTATGTGGGATTCCATATTCTTTCATTCTGAAGTTTGAATGGCTCAATATATAAATAACCCCTCCGGATATAACTTGATTCAGAGGTATGATACCATCTGAAATTGACAAATGAAGTTAAACAGTGGTGTTAACTTAGAACCATTATTCTTTAAATTCCTGACATACACACCTGAATTTTTTCAAAAATAGCACAGCTAATTAGTACAATTTTTAAAGGAATAGTTAATGTTAAATAAGAAAGTTACAACTGGTGTTCGTCATCGCTGTAATCATCATCCTTCTTGACAACTCTTTCACAATATAAGAAAACAGATCCTATGTGAGAAATTTTGACACCACACACGGGGTCCGGATGAATAAATGTAACTCCAGCTGGCCAGTCACATGTTGGATATAAATCTGTTATTGCCTCACTATCATCCAGAGATGTATTTGGACCACCAGTTCTATAGTATAACACCGGTGATTCTTCGTTCCCGTGAAATATTGGAGTAAGTAAAGGTTCATTAAGATTGTCCATTTTCTCCAAAGCAACACTTTGAACACTAGCTGTTTCTTTCATAACATCATTATTGGAATCATTATGGTAATGAACAAGGTCATTGTCATCTGTATCATACAATTCATCATTACTATTCATATGGTTGTCAGCTTCTTCATCATCGGTTGGACTACCTGAAGAGATATTGGGTGCAGACCCACTACTACCACCCGATGGCATAACTCTTGGAACATCATTTGTATTTTCCTCTAAATCCTTTTGAAGAATATCATTTTCTTGAAAATTTTCCTTGTCACTCACATTATCCTGTTGTGCCCAAATAACTGAACCAAGTGATCCACGTCTTGAAGATGTGTTGTCTAATGAAACCATAGATAGAGTACCGATTGGACGAACACCAACCAATTTTCGATTATCATCATTGCAGGCTTTCAAAAGTAGTGTACGTAATTTAACAAAGGCGTCATTTTCTTTTATTTGTAAGCATTCATAGGCACGTTTCTGTCCATCTGAACTGACAATACCCAAAATTATTATATTTTTTAATTCTTGGACTAAAAATATTCCTTCTATTTGTTGATATGATAAAAATATACGATTATAATTTTTTGTTAACTTTTTATAAACTTTCATACGTAAGCCACTTTCGGTAACATAAATCATACGTTCTTGTGGTTGAGTACTGCGCATCTTCACGATCAGTTTCTCTGCATCCGTTTGATTATGTGTTTTACTCGATTTCAGTTTCTTTTGAAGTAATAATTTTCCACGACATGTATGATAAATTGGTTCACTTATTTCAGAATCAGATTCATTCAGAGTTGGAAATGAACTACTCCACGAATGTTTAATAATTGATTTACGTGACATGATTTTCTTTATTAATTTACTGTCTTCGCTGTTATTATTCTTGTTGTATGTAATTCAAGTATACACGAAGTAAAAGAAATCAAGTGAATTGACTGCGTTATAACTGAATGTATATGGTAAGGGTGAAAACGGTAGGAAGTAGAAACGAAAGTTAATAGTCGTGATCTTTATGCTGTTGTAGATTTATTTTATTCTCGTTTTTTTTTAATTTATAAGTACTAACAGTATTTGACCAATAGGTATACTTCCAGATGTGAAACAAAACTATGCGGAAAAATGTAGAAACTGTAGTTTTGAAATCAGTGTTATCAATAGACTGACTTTTTCTATATGTACTTTGGTTATTACTTTTGTCTTTTGTTTTGATACAAATTCCTTTTGTTTTGCTCAGTCTATCACATAATGAGAACATAAAGGAAATGATATTAAAGTAACCGACATTAAAATTATTCCGTCTCTACGGTTTTGCGTGTGTGTGTTTAAGTCACTCGCTATCTGTCCGCCTATCGTTCACTCACTTATCTACACACACTAAACATTTCATTCTGACTCATGTGTGTAATGAATGAAATGAGGCCAAGAGTTTGCATTTCTCGACTTATATGAATTAATCAATACACCTGGTAAAATCTATTGGTGTAAGCTTTAATGATTATATCGGGTTTGACCTGTGACTTTATTGATTACTACTTTCTGTGCATATTCATTTTATTCTTGACAATTCTATATTTTAACACAGATAAAAATCAATCGGTGAGACAAATTACCAAGAAAGTTAAGTTGAACATACTATGTGGGCAATCGATAGTGTATAGCCTACAAGCTTTAGTGAAAGTCAAGTGAAATTTGTGCTACAGAAATTTAATTTATAGTAAAATTTGGGCTGGTGACAAGTCACTGTAGTTATCAATGGTGAAATTCAAAAGTAGTCCTTAAATCGGTGGTAGATTCAAGGATGCACTTTACGTCTAATTTAGGCCTCATCATCTGAATGCAGCCACACTCAAGGGAGCTGTGGTGTTCTTACTGAAATTTTGAATTAGTTCCCATCATTTCAAACTCCGAAACTTTATCTACCAGATTCCTGAGCTACGAGCCACCTTTCTCACGACTAGCATGATTTGAAATAATTTATTTATGATTGCGATTTCCCTATTCTTGAAATTCGTCTAAGAGGTCCTTATATGTTTGCAAAGCTGATCAGTGTGGTCAGATATATCACTAGGATTCACAAACAATTTTGAACTGGGAAGCATTTCCATTAATGACGAGGCAGTTTCGAACAGATTTCTGGTTGATTCATCAATCACTGTAGCTTAGGGACAATAAGGAAGCAATCGACAGTTGTATTGTCGAAAGGAAAGAAATATAGAATCCTAACATTACAGACCACGCTCACTGTGCACTCTGTTATTCAAAATGCTCTAATCTTTCCCAACCCAGCATTTAAATAGCAACTTATTTTCCATCGGTGATTTGCTTCAAAATTTTTTGGTCAGAAGGTCAATGGGGCGCGGAGATCAGTGGTCACCCGTGTTATTATATGTAGCAGTGATGTATCGATAATTGACGGAAATTGATTCTTTAAAAGTGTTCGTTTCCGACACACTCGCTGAATGGTCAGCATGTTTGCCTTGCAAACTAAAACTCTTATCTTACAAACCAAGTGGGTTCGTTAACTTGGACGGAGCAGTTAGTGAGCGACTCCCGCTTTGCAATGATTCTCAAGCTGACTTTTATTCATATAGAAATATACAGTAAAACTAGTCAAAATCCTCAGGTCTGAACACCTGGATGTGAATAAACTTTATTATTTTGAATATAAAAATGAATTTCCTGAAGATTATAAAACCAAGTAAATCTTTAAAATAGAAAGATACATGTTTCTTCCAGATGGAAGCTTATTACCTTATAACACATTGCTCATCCTTGAAGCATTTCTAAACAAAGAAAAATATAAAGTGAACATTACTTTAAGTGATACTTAAAGGAGCGTTCGTTACGTGGCTTAACTTTCAGAAAGAAGAGGGAAAAAACTGCAAATTTCACGACATCATCTTTATTCGTGCCCACGTTTGATATCGTCTCGAGACAATGAAGGGAACAGTCTGTAGGAATTTGGTCATGTAGGAATAATTCACTAGCAGATTGTCACCAGACACAGACATCCATTATCTCAAAGCGTCATCTCATGAGCAGAACACGCATGAAAGTTTTCCGTCCCAGGTTGAGGAAGCCAGGGAAGGTGTAGTAGCCACTGTGACTATATTCATAACCCACATGTAAGCCAGTAAATCTGGTGTCTCAAGATGAAATTACCCATTGAAGGACTATCTATACCATATCCAGAGACACTTTGTCCAACCTCAGGTTTATTCACACAAATGTGCAGCTGAATGAAGGTACTTTCGAGAGACAGAGATTGTGCAACACGAAGCACGTCCTTAGATCAATGACACCCGCTCCCGTACTATTAGAGTGACTGCGTTACAGCTCCGCTGACCCACTTTTTGACTGGCAGACTGTTAAAACCGTGGTGCTATTAGTAGCACAGCATATGATACCCTGGCTTTCAACATACCGTTAGACGTTCTGAGAGGCTTGTTGTTCTAAGCTTGAGAGAAAAGCAGACTGTGGTTAGGAGTTTTGATAATTTCATCTTAGAGAAAATTTAACTATTATATAAACTTAAATCATCTCTGATACATATCACAATTTTCGAAAGTTCTTTTACGGAACTCCTAGTATCTGGCTACACAATAAATCCATTGTATTTTGTAATGAGGTATGCACACACAAAATTCAAAGCTTTTGTTGCAGTGAATTCATTCACTTTTATTATGATGTGCTAACTGTTAATTTGCCGCTAAGTACTTTCATCTCTTTAGAAGCATTTAGATTATAGATGGGCCGATAAAGTGTGTATAACACTAGATAAATACAAATGAATATCCAATAGCCTTCAGACAGATTCGTTAATATCCCAGCCATGTCAGTGAGCTAAGCAGTAGGCACCTCTGATCGAAATAATTTACCGGCTTCGACTAACTTTGAAAATACAATGGGCGCAAATCGGTAAAAGATTATAAATGATGTGTGTTCTATAATAACTAGGATTATTTGATGTAGAATGCAGTTTTAATAACCGGATAACATTTCATAATGATAATCACTTTTAAATGATTACAAGCAATCAACAATACTGGAAGTGTTGTCTACTTAACAACACTGCATCCCTGTATTATATCAGATATAATCGTCTAATATAGAGTTCTGTTCTGTTGCAGCTCCCATGTTCTCTTTACATTCATCTACGTTTAAATGTTTTCGGTAAATAAACGAAAACGAACTTTGAAGTTATCTAGTAATCCTGTATACTTCGGCTGAAATAGACATTAAGTTATTCCCTCGAAATGAGAATCACTGTTAGTAATCAGAACTCTGGTGTAATTACTAGTATTCATTGAATATCTCGTAGTTGTTATATTAGTAATAAAGTATTATTTTTGCTAAATATGAATGGTTTCCTGCAATGAAAACAAAAGTAATCTGCTTTGCGTCACACAGCGCGTAATGAATCGTTTATTGGTGGCTAAAAATTTTGAGAGACGGTTATACTCCTCGAGTACTAAATATGTCATATCTTAAATTAAATTGGCTGAAGTTTGTTAACTGTTATCATGCTTAGTGGTAAAATATTTCTAAAGTAGCTCAAAATCTATAAAATTTCAGTTGTACAACTGAAGTGCTATTTTCGAAATGTAGTAGTAGGCTTTTAGATTTTTCTGTGGATTTTACAGACTGCTCGCTAATGTTCATTCACATCAACGGTGCACTATTCGCCTTTCAAAAAATAAGATTTTTATCTGAAGAACGATACTGAATTTCTTACATTTATTTCTCTTAATAAATTTGAACAAAGCAAGAACTACAGCTTTTGCAGAATAAAGTGGTACCGTCTTTTATTTCGTTGCCTACTCGTCATCTGCTTACAGGGCAAAGACATTATTACAAATGTCTACAAAACCTTTTTAAAATACTTGCGCAGAGTTCATTTTAAACAAAAATCAATCGATCAATACATGCATACAGTAATATATATATATATGACATTAAACACCATTCGGAACAATAATAATCACACACAATGCAAACTTTTCAGTATTACGCATTCAGATGAAAGAGAGATGAAAATAACCAGTTGCCAGGGCAAAGAAAGACCGATAACTGTTTCTTTCTGAACACACAAATCAGGTTTCAGGCACTTGATGGAAATAGCTTCAGCAAACTTGAGGAGAATTGAGCTCTTCTACCTATTGATAATTTTGAACGACTTTTCGACGTCCACCTCATGACTCGTGCCAAGGAGATGCCTGGCGATGGCACTGTTTAGAGCATTGTTCCCCTTAGACATAAGCTTTTTGGTACATGTTCAGAAAATCGTAGATTTGCCCTTCTTTCTGTTCTTCCAATGTAACTACTCCCACAGATACATGTAACTGTGTATATGCAGTTGGGGTTAACTTGGGAAGGATATCTATCGATTTTTGATTGCACCAAAGAGCAAGTTGTTCGATAGACGGGGACGACCTTAGCTGCAGGATAGGCTATGGTAAGTGAGGTACTCAGCTTTCTGTTGATCATTGCTGCAGTGTTTTCACCTTTATAATCAAGCTGAATGTAGATTGGCTTTTAACCCACTGTGATTTGTTTTACACTTGTGATTTCAGATCTTCCATACTCGTCGATGAACCTTTGAGGGTGCCAACTGGTCTTCAACATCTTTTCAAGAAACTCAAATTCTTCCTCTAATTTCTTTGTAGAGCATATTCTCTTCGCTCTATGGTACAGAGTCTTGACTAGTCCGTGTTTAAAGCTATTTAGACAAAAGCTATTAAAATGGAAGTATTGTCCTTTCCATGTAGGCTTTCGATAAATTGACTTCTGAAGACTACTGGCTTCTAGGTTTTGCATGGCAATGTCGAGGAAGTGAAACTTTCCGTCTCTTTCATGTTCCATAGTAAACTCAATATTGGTGTGTGCATCACTGAATAATCTGAGTAAGTGTGAAGCATGACTTTCATTGTTGCACACTATAAATGTGTCATCAACCTATCGACAGTAGGAAGTTGTTTCGTCGATTGCATGCTTCAACTTTATTCTCTCAAGGTTGGACATGAATATATCTGCTAGAACAGGGCTAAGTGGACTGCCCATAGCTACACCATCTATTTGGTGGTAAAAAGTGTTGTCAAATTGGAATTGCATATCCATAGTACACAAAAGCAGCGGGTGTTTGAATTTCGACTCTGGGAGTGGGAGAAGGTGGGACTGCGCTTCCATTTCAATGCGATTTAACTTCAGACTCGATCGATTACAGATAATGCCCTCAGGATTTTCCGGGAAAATGTCACACAATTT